AAAAAAAAAAAAAAAAAAAAAAAGTGCCAATGTGTGTGATGGCTTGTGTACGTGTATGTGCAGTATATTTATGTGTATGCAAGCAAGACCCAGGTGTGTGTGAGGGCAGTTGGGGCCGGTTCACTCAGTGCCACGGGTGGGAGTACTGGGCTGGTTGAGGCCCATGGTTTTGCACAACCAGCCGGCAAAGTCCACTCCCTCCACTTCTGATCGTTTGATGAACGTGTGACTCTGAGGAAAAAAACAAAAAAGGAAACCGTTGTTTGTACCGCTAGCATCATTAACTAAAGAGAGCTGAAAATGAAGCTCAGGGTACCCACCGTCAACATCTTCAGATCGGCCCTCTCAGCCGGGTTTTTGATCAAACTGCGAACACAAATCACACCAAAAAGTTTACCGACATGAGACTGTCAAACTGCTTCTGTCACTGAAGGATTAAGTTGGATTTAATGTTTCCAAACAACCACCTCGTACATAACACAACTGCATTTCAGTCAACACTGCTGTCTTCATGTCACATGGCATTAAATACACTAAGTGTAGGAATGTAAGCTCTCTACATGATCTACTTCTCCCGATTCACTTTTGCGTAAAAGCAGATAAGAACAGTGTGCTTTTCCTTCCTTTTTCTTTTAGCTCGCTCTAAAAATGTGGTTGCAGAAGCTCACCATTTAGTCACAAAGTCCTGGAAGTCATTGGTGAAGACCCCAAGTGGCAGTTTAGGGGGCGGCTGAGGAGGAACCAAGAATAAAAAAAAAGGTAAAAAAAACAAACAGAACAATTCATGCAAACAAACATTTTGTGCAGAAATAAAAAGTGTGTGTTTATGCAAATCAGCTCTTTCTCATACCTCATTCACAATGTAGTCCAACAGTTCAAAGATGGCCATGGCAGGTCTACTGTCCATCCCATGCCCTGTGAAAAAGTTGCATAACATATTAGAATTCTACATGTAACAAAATAATTTAAAGTCATATTATGCAAGTTTTTTATTCAATTATGTTTGACAGTCTTTACCCTTACCGCTCACGGGTCGGCCCGGTGGTCTGGGCCTCTGCATGTTGGTGTGAGGCTCTCCCTCGGCCCCGTCCATAATGGCCCGTCCAAAGATAGACTCCAGCTCTTTGGGTTCTGGTGGGGGGATGGGGTAGCGGCCAATCGCCAGCTCCACCAGGGACAGACCCATGCTCCACACGTCAGACTGAACGGAGTAGTGAGTGCCCTGCAGTCTCTCCGGCTGTTGAGAAACACACGATCTACGTCAGAAGGAGCGGGTAGAGCCAAGACGCCAGGCAGGGAAGAGAGGGTTGGGCAGAGGGCTGGGTGGGGAAGGCACAGGAAGCGGTGGAGAGGATAATGGGAGGGGGTGTTATGGCAAGGAGAGTATGGGTGTGGTGAGAGCAAGAGGACAGAGGATGGGAGGGTTTGGCAGGAAGTGACGGGTATCTTTGGACTGTTTTAGTTAGAAGGGTGAGCAAGGACAGGTGTGTGTATGCGTTGCGAATTATGATGAAAGAGCAAGCGTCTCTACACCACTGGTGCTTTGTGGGTGAGGGATTGGGACAGACGAGCGGCTTTCGGCACTGCACCCACCAGGTGTCTAAGAGTGAGGGGAAAGAAGGACGAGAGAGCGAGCACAGTTGCCTCGCTCTTTGCCAAAGAACCCTTCCCTGAGCACAGCCCTCGGCTCTTGGCAGGGGAGTGAGGGAGGGCCAGAGGAAGGGAAGGCAGAGGGCGGGGCCAGTGAACGAGAGCAATGTGAGAAACGAGGAGAAGGAAAGTGGGGATAGGGCCAGAGGAAAAAGGGGTGGGGGCGCAGGCGTGCAGAGCTGACTCACCGACATGTAGGAGCGTGTTCCAACAAAGGAGTTGGCCATGGAATCTATGAGCTGGCCGCTCACACCAAAGTCGCACAGCTTGATCTCCCCGCGAGAGTTGACCAGGATGTTGGAGGGCTTGACATCTATGTGGCAGAGGGGACGTGGGCAAACAAACAAAATGTAAAACACGTTTTTAATGAGACCCGTCTTCAGACTTATTGATGATTTGAGCTAGATATTTTTGGTAGACAGTAGGATGAGAGGGTAGTGCTTATAATAGGAAATCATGACTAAACAGATAGCTAACAAGAACACTGCTACACTGGTATGTGACTATATATACATGGGCTTAGGTATGTAAATATTATGATGGTAGGGCCATGAATGCATGTGCATATATGACTAAGTCTATGATGATAGATTTATCTTTGTTCACCATCTCAGACACTAACATGTGCAAAAACTATGTATATACTAACAGCCGCTTTCTGATAGATATAAATATATTTTGTACCAAAAATATTTTCTTTGCAACATAGAACGACTTTAGAAACAAAATATTTAGACAAGAGCTAGTCTGCCATGAGGCCTGCAGGTGGTATGCACGCAGCACCCCCCGGCTTCTTCTGTGGTGCCGTGTTAATAGAGCGAGGGAGAAAATAGCTACAATCAAGCTGAGCCCCCGTTATAAACAAGCCCGTTCCTTCACATACCCCGCTCATCGCTGAAAAACATCCTGCAAAATAATGGGGTAAGACTGAGCCCTGCAATCTGTCCTCTGTGGTGTGACCCCCTCCCCTCCCCTCCCTCCGACCAAGGACATGTGATGAGTGACTGAGAAAGAGGTGGCATGAAAGAGCGGGAGAACGATGGAGGGAGACACGGAGGGAGGGGTCAACAGGGCGCGGCTGCTGTATAATCACATCTGAGAGGCTGTAATTACCGCCTGAGCTCACAGACGACGGTCCTGGAGTACCACCGACCCTCCAGCACAGCGAGGCCTCACTGTGAGGCACTGTGCAGGTCTGAGCGTCGCCTTCACTGGTGCTTTTCACAACAACACACCCGTGGTTCCTCACTGGTGTGCTGTGGGAAAACTTGTCTGCCTTTAGACTTCGCTATGGTGTGGCTTGTGATTTTGTTTGAATGCAAAGATAATTGTTTTTACTGAGCCTTTTATTCCCCGTCATGCTACAAACGTCTAAGATGAGGAACTTGTGATACTCTTCAACAATAGCGTGCCTTGTTGTGAGCATGTTAAAACCCTTAACATGTTGATGAAGTGCAAAAAGGAGGAAAAAGGATGGAGACAATTAATACAAATTTGAAACCAATAGTACCAGGACGACTGGAGACGGTCTAATTAACGTGGCGCATTTTAAGGGTTTCACTGACAAAACAAGTTCGAAGACATTTGGCAAAAGAAATGATAGCAAAATGCTTTTAGTTAGTGTGCTTGAGTCGGTTTCAGAGCAGCAAGGATAATGCCAGTGGAAAATTAAGGGATAAACCTGCATTTTTCTTAAATGTGATGTGTAGACGGGAACATTTGCAGAGTCTCAGCTGGGTGCCTCACAAGCATGAGCAAAAACTTAGCTGCCACTAATACTGAAGGGATGGGACTCATTATATTAACCACAACAAGTCCATAAAAAAACATCTACGTTTTATTATTTCTAAATGAGAAATCTGGAAACAAGGCAGAGTTGTTCTAATGCCTTACTTACACGCACTGCATTTCTATCTTCCAACTTTGAGAATGACTGAATTACAATAATTATAATCTCACACCTAATAGTCTTCTTAGTCCAAACACTACACAATAGCGAAACTGTAGTGAACAACTATAATTGAGTAATTAATCACTATGCCATTAAATATAATTAGGAGCGAATCCATCACAGTTTTAGTAATCTTGCTTGTGGGATATCTGAAGTCAAAGGCTCCTCAGGTTGAAAATAGCATTATTTTTGTAGTTTCAGCATTAGTCATTCTGGAAGCAACAGACCGGAGTTAAGCTGATAAATAACCTACAAAGTGATTGTGTCACTTATCATATTTTACAAACTACACACTCTGTATCTCTTGTACTGCAGTGATTTTGGAAATGTTGCAGAAGGGGTTTGGAGAGCAAATGTAATTCAGTGCGGCTAGAGAACACCCTCACCTCTGTGCATGATTTGGTGCTTCTCCCGCAGGTAGGCCAATCCCCTCAAAACCTGTAAACAAGAGGAAAACATTTAACTCGGCGCACAAATAAGGGCCACATCACATCAAATCAAATCAATAAGCTTTCCCTACGTAGATATCAATGAATTAAAAAAAAACAACAATCCTGTTATTACGCTTAGTTTGGACTTGCAACAGTTTAAGTTGAGTAAAATACAGCAGTGACTCATGCATTACAGTACAACACGCAGCCAGTTAGGCAACACCACAAGAGAAACACACCCACAACGAGCAGCGCTGTTAAAAAAAAAAACACGCACAGTTACGAGATTTAAGGATTTTCATATCACTGCCAAATTCAAACTGCCAACGATTTTAAGATGACAAACGTGTCATAAAAAAAACAGAAACTATATATTTTTTGAAATGTATCAGAATTAGTGAACTACATACAGCTATGCTAACTTTCCCCAGGATTTCTTCTGGGATTCTTCTGGCTTCCTTCAGGACCTGGTCCAAGGATCCACCATCCTGTAAAGACATTTTGCACGATTTAAATATGACATACCACTTTAAAAATCAATAATAAAAAAAATACCGGTATCCAACCACATCATTCCGTGTCCAATGGTAGACTGATAACAGTCTTTGTCTCTCACCATGTGCTCCATGCAGATGCTGATCTCCCCATCGCTGTAAAAGGCCCCATAAAAGCCCACAATGTAGGGAGAGTTGCATTCATGCAGCACCTGCAGCTCTCTGATAATCTGGTTTCTGATGGCAGGCTTGATTTCAAGGTGGATCAACTGAGGAGGGAAAGGATGAGACCATCAACCGCTGTTCTGACAAACACAAACGCAACAGCTGCCGTTTCATCAGTCGCTGACTTCCTATATACACACAATATATTTAAACATTTCAGAGGTGGTGGTTAGCATAACAACAACGCTTTCATATTCATCTGCGAGCAGCAAACTCAACACTAATTATTTAGGATCTCATTTAAACTAGGCGAGTCTAGATACACACAGAACGTCTTAGAATGTACACCCGCTTTTGAATAATGATACAATATAGCAAAGACAAGTTCCCATATTTCCAAATCGTATTTTTCATCATTTACAGAACTTTTTAGGGAACTGCCGTGTCGGCACATACTTAAAGGCTTGACAGCCTACAAGCGGAATGTCTGTCTGGAGTCCCGTTAACTTTCTGTCTCCTAAACTGAACACCAACTTAGAGGGGAAATAAACAGATACAACAGAAAAATACTTATGATAAGGAACCCCTGGTTAAAACTTGTGACCAGGATGTGTACTGAGAGACATTTCAGAGTGGAGAAAAAAAAATGCTGACAGAAAACTATGTGATCAAAGATCTGATTACAAGCTGCACTTTCTTTCTGACTTCTGAAATCTACCCCACAAATGATTTATCTGTGATAACTTAATATTGGTCAATATATAGGATTAATTAAGAGGACATTTATATCTTGGGTCAAGTATAGGTGATGAGAAATAAGTAAGTAATAAGAAAGTCAGTGTGGCTCCATTGTTTGGGTGCCAGCACCAGGAATCTGGTGCGAAGATAATAATCTACACCTCTGGAATGTGTTTTGATTCACTTCAGACGCAACTGTCTCATTTCCCCTGCAACAAAACAAACGAACAGGTGTTAATGTTCACCTTCCGGGCCATGACCAGACCCGAGGGTTTGTGGCGGACCTTGTTGACCACTCCTCCATTCCCAGCACCCAACTCGCATATGGGTTCAAAATCCTCATCCTTCAGCTCCCCGACCTGAGCCTTCTGGGTCAGAAAGGCCTCCAGTCGTTTCCTCTGCTGCTCGTCCAGGTCCAACTCGCCCAGTTTCTTTTGTAAGGCCTCGAGGTTGGCTCTGTGGAGGAGGAGGAGACCGTTAGTTCAGCAGGTTTCCAACAGTCATGGGGGGAGAAGTGATAAGACAGGGACATTAAATGATGTTCTAATGTTACATAGGTGGTATATAATGATAACTTAGACACACAGGGCAATCCTAAATCTCTCTTTAACACAAACACAATAAATCTTAACTCACTCAGATGCAGCATCAATGGTGTTAATGATGTGCTAACGTCACACGTGTAGTATATAATAACTTACACACACACACACACACACACACACACACACACACACACACACACACACACACACAAATCTCTTTAACTCACTCAGATGCAGCATCGATGGTGTTCGAGGTGGCCTGTCCCTCCCCGATGGGCGTTATGTTCAGGGGAACGGGTCTTCTTTTAGGAGCCATCTCAATAAATCACCCGAAAAGGACTTTTCTCCAATAACGCACTAACCTGGAAGTGAGCTGAGGCGCTGCTATTCTAAACCCTTTTTTTACTTGTTCGAAACTCTTGTGTGGGGGAAAGAAAAAGCAACAGGATCAGCTTCTTGGTGGCTATGAACTTAGCTAGCTAACGTTAGCAAAGTTAGTATACTTTCTGTAGCATGTCAGTCAGCTATCTTTGGGTAAATCGTATCATGCCGAGGCGATATTTAAAACTCAGGTAGGTTTCTCTAGCTTTTGGAGTGAACACATTCCTATGTTTCCTTCTTCTTCTTCTGTTATCTACCTCCTGCTACTAGCTACTAGCCAACTAGCTGCTACTAGCTAGCACCAGCTCCAGGAGAAGAAGAAAAAAACGGTGCCCTGCGTCTCTCAGTCCGAACGTGCAAGCCTCCTCGTTTCTCAGCGGTTGTTACCGGCAGCGGACACCGGTGAGACCGACTCGGGTGTCTTTTTTTTTTTTCTTCCGCAGGCTCGGCAGCGTCCGAGCAACAGATTCTTCCGTATTTCAGCTCGGTGGGGCTTTGGTGCTGTGGTGGTGCCTCAATACAGGAAGCAGCAGCTGCAGCAGCATCAGACCTGTGTGTGACACCCACAGGGAGAGCCCTTCAAATAGAAGTAGCGCGAGACGAGACTGAGGCCGTGTCTGACAAGTTGAGACGAGAAATGCAGAAACATCTCATTGGAGATGAGTTTGTGATGATAACACCTCCGGGATGCAGTTTTTTTTAATGAGATAAAGGTTCCGTTTTAACCATTTCTTATCCACACCGCTGCTTTCTTATGTGTTTTAATGGCAGTTAGTAAACAAGCTGCGAAGCACAGCACTGCCACCCAGCGGTAAGAGGAGGGAACTGAAGATTCAAATACATTATTATTGTTGAAGAGTATTTTTATTTTTTTTTTAAATCACTACATTTTCAGTTTGAACTCTTCAAAGTAAAACATGAAGTTGTATTTATTTATTTAATGATTTAAATCTTCCTCACTCAGAACATTTTTTACTTTTTAGATCATTTTGTCTGTGTTAAAGCTACGGCATACATTTTAGCAAAGTTTATTTTTATTTATTTTTGAAATAAAACTTTAGCTGTTTTAATATGTCTATAATACACTATAGCCAAACCCCAAATAAACCATAGAATAAGACCACCATTTTCGAATCTCATAAACAGCATAAAAACATGCAATGCATAATATCAGGCTTTCAGTCTATAGGGTTTAAACAATGTCACTTTTACATTGGTAAAATAAATGCTATTATCCTTGTTTTCACTAGAGGCATTTCTGCTTTATGCGTTTGATGCAATGCATCAAAATCCATGTTGCTAATCATTGGCAAACCCTTCTTGCATTCAGTATACACAACATAATTACATTTTGTGGGGGGTTTGTTCCCCATAAAGAGACAACAGTGGAATTATGTAAACAAACCGGCATTTAAAAGGATCCAATTCCGTAAAATGAAAATGTTTTATTCTACAAAAAATTCTTCAGTAGCCAGAGATGAAGCATTGTGGGACAGTTAAGCTGCTGCAGTTTCAGGCTCCTGTAACTCTTTGCTTTATGTCTAGAGGCTAGATTAAAAGTGTTCATTTCTCAGTAACTGGGAAATGGTTAATATATTTTAACAAGTTATGTGAATGAATACTGAGGACTAACCGTCATCATACAGGTGATCCAGACAGAGGTGACAGCACAGCTAACTTAGCATTCAATGCTGCCTTATAAAAAAATATATAATTACTTTTATTCCATATAGGAAGTAAAACTAGACATTTTGTTTTTATTTCACTGCACTTGACATAAAAGTAATTATGGAGCAGCCAAATTAAACTACTTAAATGTAATAAAGAACCCAAAGAAGACTTTTAGCAACTCAATTTCACAAAAGACTGAATTTATTATCAGACTAGTTTGCTTCGAGGTTGATCCGAATCATTTTTGAAACACCTGCAGACATCAAAGCTGAAAATAAGATGCAATGAATTCATCTCAGGATCCCCTCATTAACAGTGGCTGTCTGGCTGAATACATACAGACTACTTTCAAAATAAAACAATGGCAGACATGTTTTGTTTTTTTAAGAACTGATTTTAATTAATTCCACACGTCAATAACAGCTGTTAGAATACGATCATTTGAAATTTTACAGTTTTATCCTCGACAGGCATCAAATGTGTCCCCAGGTCTGCGCATTTGGTACAGGCCATAACAATGTCCTCCCAGTCCTCTGTGGCATCAGGTGCTGCTGCCCTCATCAGCATTATTATTGTCTGTTTGCCTGTAGGAACAACTGGAGGCGATTCAAGGCTTAATAAAATATTATCTTAATTTTATTGTCTTTTAATATGAACATATAAAAAAAAAAAAAAACACAAACAAAAAAAACATTTACATCATGGATTGTAAGCCTCTGCCCTCATGCTACCTTATGCATTATTATAAGAAGAAGAGATGCCACTAGAAGAAGAACAGACCCTCCACGCGCGCACGCGCTCTCTCTCTCTCGTGCTCTCTCTCTCTCTCGTGCTCTCTCTCTCTCTCCGCGCTCTCTCTCTCTCCGCGCTCTCTCTCTCTCTCCGCGCGCCCTCTCTCTCTCTCTCTCTCTCTCTCTCTCTGCACCCTCCCTCTCTCTGGCTCCCAAACAACCTGCGAACGTATCTGGCTCAGTTCCACAGAAGCGACCTGCTTCACTTCTCTCATCTTTAACCACAAGGCAAAGAAAAGTTTCGGGGATCCACTCAAACAATTAACCTTTTACACAGACAAGTGAACAATGTAATTTTTTATATGTATAGCAGTTACTTACAAATACAAATTGCCTAGTTAAAGAAAGGTATTAGAGTTTCTTTACATTATATAGCTTCAGAGCGCCTTCTATAGAATTTCCTTTTCAGGGACAGACTGATGAATTACTGGCAAAAGTGCCATCAACCAAATTGTTTGTGGATTATCAAATATTCATCAACAGTTTATTGATTCTGTAAACCGTGTCAAAAGAGAGAAAAATGGAAGACCAGATTTCGCTCTACCTACTTTTCCCCATCATCGGCCTCGTCTGAGGATGCACGAGCGACAGCAAGGCCTGGATCGATGTGAAAACGTAATTTCTCTGTGCTCATGAGCAAGGCGAAAGAAAACCGTGCTGATCAAACCGTAACAAAGGGATGATCAGATAGGCAAACGTACAATGTGGAGTTCATCAGAGTCACTTTTACTCTCCTCCCCAACTGATCACGATGGCCAGGTGTCCTTCATTAACACTCACTACACGAGGGCGTTTAGATAAATAAGCCTTAAAGTTGGCATGATGTATCAGATGAAAGTGCAAACATCTTTTCTCATCTTCAAACACTGATGACCTTCCTAAAGCCTGCACATGCAGCCCGAGTATCCTTCTTTGTGGAGCAGCCGTCACATACTGACAATACTAGTGCAAGGGCAGAGGAATATTAGGGATTTTTTTCAGTCTACAGCATGTAGCAATTAAACTCCAATTCTTTTCCAGCAAATAGACGTGACCTTATCTACATCGAGAGGCGGCCGAGGGGATTGTTGGATGAAGCAGCGCCACTTGTTCCAGACAAGACCATTTGTAATCCAATCAATGACTTTAAGCGCGGTGGGGTTGCACTCATTGACACTCCATTAAGTTTCGTCGTGTCAGGCATGTTGAACCCGAACGCAGCGAAGTACTCTGAAAGGGGCTTCGACTCAGGTCGGATTCATTCAGAGGAAAAGAAAAGGGAGCGTTCATCAACAGCACAGCCATGAGCCCGGAAAACAACTTTAACTAAAAACACTCAAAAACCACAGCAGCAGATCTGTAACCAAAAGCTCCGGTCTGCACAGAACAGCCAAATGTTAAGTCAATTGATTACACACACAACTGTTAAGAAAATGTGAAGCTATTAAATAAATATGATACTTCCAGACGAGGACATCAAAATGTGGAGAAAAAAAAGAAAAGAAGGGATGACAGCGCTTCTGATTCCTGCTCCATAACTGTCCTTCACCACAGATTGTATTCGGCCTCTCTGTCAATTTCTCCAACTTGAAAACCATCAAAGAAATAAAACCCCTTCTCTCAGGCTGGGGTCCGATCTGCTGACCAGTTCAGCTCGCCTAAAAGCAACAGGCTCCAATCTCCACCACTCAACAACAAAAAAAAAGGCATCAAAATCTCATGTTCCTGTGAGTGAATCCTTAAAACAGATTTACTTTGGCACAGCCGCCACACAGTCGTTTTGATGCGTTTCGTCAATATGCAATGCTGATATATCACTCCTAACAAATCCTTTTAACTTCAAATTCAAATTATGTTTCACCGAGTCCCCCCCATCACTGACACCTACACTCAGCTTGGTTATCCACAAACTATCTCAACCTTTAGCGGAGATCTTGTCGCTGCAGAGGGAACAGAGCTGTACGGGACGATGGAATAAAAGAAATAAAAACAAAAAAAGAAAAATGTAGGAAAACAAAATATCCAGTGTAAAATTGGCTTCAGAAAGACGCATCGATTCTTCTGTCCTCCACTTCTTTCTAAGCTACTCTCTGGTCAGTCTGCTAAGATTGTATGACTGAGGTAGGTTCTCTTTAGCTAAGGACAAAATAAAAATGGAAAGCATCACACAGAGGCCAGTACTGTGATCTGCCCTTTCATTAATAAAAAGGATAAATTACTGAAAAAAAAACAAAAAAAACTTTCAAGCTTTGAATTCATACTCTGAAGAAAGAAATAAACACAACGGGAGAGATTTTAATTTGCATCACACTCCAGATATATCTCTGCCTTGTCCTCCCCCAAATTCTCCAGTTGTCGTTTTTGACCTTTTACCAAAAACTGCTGAGGAGACTCCATTTTCAACTTGCCTGTTCATCACAAATGTGACAAAAAAAAATAAATCAAAAGACGCACACATCGGACGCCCGTGGCTAAAAGAGCCTGTAATTCCAAGTCAAATACAAAGAGAGATGAGGTGGTAGAGAGGGACCAGTCTGGAAAAAGAGAGAAGGGGGAAGGAGAGGGGGGGGAGGGGGTTGGTGGTGCACGATCCATTCAGTCTCCTCAGGTAGAGGCAGGACGGTACAGATATTCACTGCAAGGTGACTGTTGGCCAAAAATAGTTAGAGTTGCTTCCAGTGGTGTACAGTACAGAGAGGAATCCTAATCCCTCTAGATTGAAGCTTTAACAGTGCTTGTTTGAGTGTGTTTGTTTTGACTGGATACAAACCAGAGAGCTGCTAAAAGGCTCCGATGTTTGGGCATTAGGGAGGGTGCGTTGCATCTAGTGGATTCCTGTGTTCCTGTCCTTTTAAGCCCCCTGCCTCTCGGTCTCTGTGTCAGTCTACGAGGGGACAGAGCTGTGGGGTCAGTAGGCAGTGACCAGGTCCTTGTCGTAGTTGTATCGGCCCCTCTTCGGGGCCGGACTGTCGGCGCTGTCCTCAGTGTCCTCGCTGTCTCCTCCTGCCCCGCCCCCTTCCTCCTCAGAGGAGGAGTCAAGAGTCAGATCTACCACCGCACCTCCTCCCGGTGCCACAGCGGTTCCTCCTGACATCCCCACAGAACCGCTTCCGGACTTGCCCGTCAGGCTGGTGCTGCTGTGGGCCGGTGAATGACCGTTTGCCTCAGGAATGCCTGCACACATCAAGGCTGTTTTAAAACGGAACGCGTAACGATTTACACGAGGAAGCTAAAAATCCACACATTGATAACGACAGGTTGAATTGACCGGGTTCGACACTTACATATATCAACAACAGGATAATCTGGCGTGTTGCTGCGTTCTCTTTCTCTGTCCCTCTCCTTCTCGTCGCTGATAGGTCGCCAGGATCCGTCGGTCAAGTACTCGAGCTCCTCAATGTCCTCACTCGTCTCCTTCAGAATCTCTGATAGCAGCCTGAAATACACGATGGGGTTTAGAGTCGCCGCACTAAACAGATTTCACACACAGATTCTCTCCCCTCCCCACCCCCCCCACTAGACTCGGCTGCTGAAAGTGAAAGCTAGACAGATGAGCTGAAGAAGGGACTTTCACACAGGCTTAATTTATGGAATCCAAATATAACTCAAAGCCAAACTGTAAGACAATGCTTTCAGTGTTTGTGAAAGGAGTGCCTGTGGAAGTTGCTACACGCCCAAATGGTTGTGGATGAAAGTATTTTATCATGTTTCTTTATTTATTAAATGGACTGCCGCTTCATTTGTGTATTTTCTGCTATTCTGATGAGTTCAAATGCAGTTCTCATTCGTACAAACCCTGCAGGCTGATTATAGATGAACATGATGTTCCTGCAGCTTTGTTGACAGAACAAAACTTTCCACAACTGAGTGGTATCTTTATCGACTACTACACTTTTGGGATGTCACAATATCAGTCAGTTGTTGAAGGTTCGCCTCATGTTTCTCGCCTACATGATTACACATCCTAATAACGTAATGTATCTTCGCCCCAATACTCATTCTTACTGGATAGAGAATGATGTAACTCAATACAACCTCCGAACGTTAGCTTCGTTATTTAGCCTAGCTGGACTGTGATGCCAACCGGCTGCTAACAGCAAACGTCAACAGGATCTGTTGTTCACAATGTAGCGTTATCATCGGGGACATTCTGTGCCGTTAGTCCCAAGCTCTAATCTTGTGGAAAAACAAGTACAGTCACATTTTTTGAATTTCGGCATAGACTTGGTACTCGTAAAATCCTTCTTCTCCTGCCATGCAAAAAACATTGAAAGCTTTTAAAATGAAAACACAGTAGGTTGTTGCATGATTCAACTTTCATCAAGAGTCCTTAAATTGCCCCAACATCTCTGCAGCTTGAATAGTTTCCCCTAACCTGGCTTCAACCCACTAAAGCGTAAAGTTTCTGAATGTATTGAGTGGAAGATGGTGCTGCAGCGGTGGGACAAGTCAGAGCATGTCTTCTGTCTCCTTACCCATCAATAGTAAGCAGCTCAAAGGGGGCGGGCTTGTCACAGACGGGGCAGGTCCATGTGGGCTTCTTCTCATTCATCTGCAGGAAGAAGACTGCGTCGAAACACTGAAGATGGGCGCAAGTTAAAACTCGACAGGGCACACCGAGCCGCATCTTCACCAGCTGGGAAGAGGGAGAGAAGAAGAAGAAGAAGCATGTTAACAGTAATCAAGCTTCACAGTAAAAACATTTGTGAAACTGGCCTTTGATACTGCAGAACAACTGAAATAGAACACGTGCAGGACATTGAAGTCTGACCCCTTCCTTAAAATGAAGGTATACTCACTGGACAGATGAGAGACACCCGGAGGCCCGTTGTCGCAATTTCACTCTCTGGGTCAAAGCGTAGTTTGTCTTGGACTGTAGATAACAATATCATGAAGTGTCATCATAGTTTATCAGACAGTATATTTGAATATTTTAAACATTTGGGCAGAGTACAAAAGGTAGCACTAACTGCGTTCACGACAGCGTTCTGCACTCTCCACGGAGCAGAGTTTGAGTTGGTTGAAGAGGTCGGCTGCAGTGAAGACCCTCACTAGATACACGGCCACAGAGTACCGCTGAAAACACACAGTCACAGGCTGTGAGCACTCATTTCAAAAGACAACCGATCTTGAATAGAGCAAACACACCAGTGTCAATTCTGTTAACTAAAGCCGTGACAAAATACGTTTGTTAAAAACATTTTTGTTCATGACTAATGATACACACCGACATCATTAAACACCAACGTTGACTATATCAAAACATACGAGACTAAAATGTAGGTTTAAAAAAATGAAAACTAAATCTCTCTATTTTCATCACCTTCCACCTTCTCTTCTCTCTAATCACTCACTTTCTGTCTCAAACACTAACTCACTCAAACTATGAACGACCAAAAGGACCAAAAATGCAACTAAAGAAAGCATTTTGTCTACCGACTAAGACTAAATCTAAAATAGCTGCTAAAATGAACAAAGGCAAATCTGGAACCCTCCAGATTATATTACTCTATTTAATGCAAGCGATGATCTTATATGATATTATATTGGCAAATTAAAAAAGTCACCTCAGGAAAACCTTACACAGCTAATTTATTTGATTACAGAATGTTCACCATCTCTGGGATCTTTGTTAGAATACGCTAGATACTGGGAGTACATTAAATATATTATTTTAAGCTTTCGTGCAAATATGTCTTTATGCTTAAAAGAAAAGTTTGCATATTTTCAACCTCATCTCTACGTATCGGGGTTATGGTTTTAGTGTGACAAACGCCTGCAGCTTTTGCCGATGTGCTGTGTCTCTGGGGCGCAGCTGCAAAGCCTGTTGTTCCTGCATCCAGAGACAGCAAGGAAGAACTACAGAGAGCTACTTCAGCTTCAGTAGCTGTGGTCACAGTCGCAGACGAGAACCCGGAGAGACTGAGCCGTGTTTTGCATTACTATGCATGAAAGTTTCCCTCCTCACTCGGACAGAAGTGCGCTGGAGACCTGCTTCAGAATCCCGAAGATAAACTGGAAAAGGCAACCAAGACCAGCGGTGCGATCTTTGTCACTGTAATTTGATAATGTAATAGTCTGCATCCGAAGAAGGAAAAAGAGTCGCTTAGAAGCTGCTGCAACGGAGCAGCTGGCACGGGCTCATAGAGACTCAGTGAATTAAGGATTTATTCAACCAAACTACAGTGGCTGATTGTTGGAACAGTGGAGAGTCAAACCAAGACGGGTTTGGTGAGTTTCATTTGGTTTGTTTGGAATATTAAGCTACTCTTAGATCAGGACAAGAGAAAGACTAGAGTTCAGAAGGTCTACGGTCGTATGTTTCAGTTTAGGCGAAAGAATATTTTCTTTTTTCATTTTGTGAGTTTGTTTATCAGACTAAAAAGACAGCTTGTGTAACATCGTTAACGTGCACAATGCATCCTGGTGCATGTAGGCACAACCGGCATGGCTCAGCTTTCTCTGTGATTATAGCAAATATAGGTACGTGGGAATTACTTTATTGGAATACATTTGCCATCAGGACTTATTGGACATCCAGAAAAAAAAGGTGGCAAATTTTCTCTTTAACCAAACTTTAGAATTTAGGGATGTACAAATGGGTCAACTTTATTTATAACATTGACCTTCAAATTATTTTCTTTGCTGGTCTATTCAAAGGTAGTTCTGTAGAGTTGCAGATAAAGATTAGGCTCCACTAATCAGTGTTTCCCCTGAATTCATTCTGCAGCAGCAGTTATGAACTGCGGGGCTCAGCCTCCCAATACACACAAACAGAGCGCAGCAGAGATGAGACAGGTCAAGATAACGCTTTCAATCTCGGTTACATAAAGGCTCGGTAGTGAATAGTTTCATACTATTTGTAGAATAAGATTCCAGTGATGGCTGCATCTAACAGCACCATAAATCACATATATTTTCAGGTAATTATGTCATAAAACATGACAGACATTCAGACTTGCATCTATTATGTAAGCTGAGCAAACAATCCTGTGATCCACTTCAAACAAACCAAAAAGAAATGTTTGTTTCCTCTAAAGCAGCAACATTTCTCAACACACCTCTAAAGTGCTGAAGTTGGTTAAAAACTGCAGAATGTTTTGATCGTGTTGTGGATAAAAGGAGGCTGTCGCAATACTGTGCAAACCTTCACGCTAGAACAGATCTGTAATGACACTCCTCTCTCTTCCCTATTATACAACACACTATAGAGCACTGCTCAAAATATACATCGTACAAAACAAGCAAATTAAAGTTTTGATGTGGACTATTTATTCTTAACACAGAGCTATTAAGCTGTCAGGCAACTTTAGTGCCGGTTTACCGTCAGCTATCATGATCTGGTTATTTCCAAAACTCTGGGATAAAGAAAAAACTATTAACACACAAAGAAAACTGAATACAAAAACCAGTATCTCACCGTGTTTACTTTCACATTGCGCATCTCTAATTTGTTTACACACAAGCTCTAAAGACGAGGGAGCTAGCAGAAGCAGACTTGCAGCTGCTTATCTAGATCAAGACGCTCGAAAAAGTAGTTCAGCATTTTGCCCTCAGGCTCTCTTTTATTTGTATATATTTGTAGCATTCAGAACTGGCCAATGAAACACAAGAAGAAAGACTTGCATGTCCCAGTTTGCATCGGTGCACCACCACAACCCTAAGCTACGTCAACACATGTGAAATATTCAGCATTAGACTCTGACCTTGCCAAAGTTTCCCCAGGTGACGGTGACTCTGTTGGTGGCACTGGAGAGATGCAACCAGGGAGTGATGTTTACAGGACGACAAGGACGGCGGGGCTCCACACCAGGCTTATTGGAGGGGTAATAGCCCTGTAAAAACACACACACACAAACACACACACACACACACACCAAAGAATGATGTTAATTATCCAATATATCATCTTAATCAAATTGGTTTTGAGTAATTTGTTGACATAACAGACATCAGAAGTCCCTCTGAAGGGCTTAGATACAGTATAAAAGACTAACTGGGCTCTTGATTGTTAGTTGTGCCGTCACTTTTTAAACTGTGAAGCTCTAAAATTAAAAAGTGAAAAGACAAGAAGGTGTTTGATTGTAAATAGTTAAAATAGAAGTTGGAGCAGAACTGAAGAAGTAGCGCTGAGCTTAGATTACAGTCACTCTTTCAGTGTTTTCCTCTGTGTGTGCTTCTTGGTGTTAATTGATCTACTTCTGTACATCTGATTCACACCAAACAAAGAAGCCTCCGATATTAAAACTTGATTATATGTGACTGAGAAAAACTCTTTTTACCTCAGCACCCGTTGAAGGTACGTGGGTGTCTTTGGTTCTATTCAGCACAGCTACACAGCTCATCATAGGTGACAATTTTGTCAAATATTTAACAAATTGATCATTACAAAGACTCAAAGAGAAAGCCAGTCTCTTCATACTTTAACTATATTTACAATTTGTCTTTGGCCAAGTTTGAGTAGTTTATTACAAAAAAATATACATAGCATCAAAACCACAACTAATCCCTTATTTGTGTATCAACTGCGGTTCACTATGGTTCAACTGTTCAAGTGAACTTTTCGGTGAATGTTGTCTTTCCAGTTTGATTGATGACTACACACCTTGTGAACAGCAAAACACTCATGAGTTGATGCCTTTAGGCTGTCTACCCAACACTTTCTGTCCCTGGACATTATTTATTCTTGCCGTATTTAACATCCACCTGCATTAGGTGGACGAATCCATCACTACCATATATTAGTTTGGCTGTGACAAGTCAGTAAGTGTGCCATTGACACCCAAAATAGTGACTCATTGACTGTATTAAAGAATAAATGTCTTAGAGGGATGACTGAAGAAATTATTTACCATGAGCAGTGGAATAGCCAAACTTTAGTCACATTTGTACTTGGAAGGTGAGGCTCGTCTCTCAGAGAGGTAAATGAACTCACCGGCACGTGACAGTACGACTGGTTGACTTTGACAGCAATGTTGGGAGGATACTGGTCTTCCTGGACACCGATGGAGTCTGTGTAACAGATTCTGCAACAGAGAAATACGAGAGAGAAAGTTCAGCATCGTGACAATGTCTGACTGTTTAGCCAATCAACATGCCTGAATCTGTGTCAGTCAAGTCTTTGAGTAATTCAGAAACGGATTCTTCAAATAAGTTAATCAGATACTCCAATTTTAAAGTAGATTAAAGGGGGAATTCAAATGCTATTTTCCATTTTTTCCCTTGTGAGAGAAATTCTGATGAACAGCACAGTCACAGATATTGAAATAGGATATTGATACATTAAGGATATTAAAATGTGTTTAAATGGGTTCTAGTGGGAACTTACCTCAGAGCCACTTGGATTGATTTCATTCCAGGACGAAGCTCACTTTGAGAGTAAAAAAGGTCACAAATAGAATTGAGCATTAGTTACAGAGTTTGTAAATAAAGCTAATGTTAAAAATTCAGATCGGAGGAGAAAGTTTGGATTTCCTTACCTTGCATTTCTGATCTGGTCTGCTTGGTTTGGTGTTAATTCAAATATGCATTGACTGTCCTGCAGTTTCTCATTGTTCTGGGCAACTGTAAATATGTTTAGAGAGAATCCATCACAACCACAGCACAGTATGTAGACATAACAATTCCTACAAAACAGATTATTTAAATACAAGGATACAGAAAAATCAAGCTATATACACTCACTTAGCTCTGTTGGTAACAACAGTGTCTCCAAAGTTTGGTAAAAGGGCAGTGGCACCAGCTTGACCTCTGCTGCAGGTGTGGGGATCGGTTTGGAAATGCCGTTGAGGTAGTCTGCGCCCTGAGAGGTGGCCGTGGGGGAGGAGCTGAGGGATGAGTAGGCGACTGGGACGCCATCTGGACGCCGCGCCGCAAGCCAGCCAGATGTTTTGGGGAAGCGCGACTCGTAGAGCTGCCTGACATTCTTCAGAAGCTCCGGGCTGTATTCAGTCTGCACTAGCCTCAGTGCTCGCCCCACCAGGTCCTGTTTCAGCCCACTTTTGCTGCGGCCCATTGAGGCCAGCAGTGTCTGCAGGTCTGAGACCCGGAAACTTTTGACCATGTTCTAAAGGGAGGACAAGACAAAAAACATTAGAAACACAATACTGGGACAATGACGTCTGTAAACGGGGAAGGTTTGGGTGACAATGCCATGAATTTAAGTCCAGAGTCATATTGAAATTCATGACAAATCCAAGGGGTATCGATACTTGATCATAACGCAAAACCAAGCTTCTCTGACTTTTTCAAGCATTTCACGTTGAAGTTTTTCTGAAGATATTTAGTCAGATTTTCTAAAAGGTATAACTTGCTGTGAGGCAAAATTACTGTCCAACTATATAACCCAGGGTGGAAAATACATCCCAGTATCTCAGTGTAAATATTCTGTGAATTGTAGGGATGCACCGGTAATGATATCGGAACAATATTGACTTAAATAGCTGGATCAAGTATCGCTGACAATAAGGCAGATCTATTGAATACAATTCTATGTTTGTATACCGTATACGTTACACACTGGAATTTTGATTCCCGTTTAAGTTTTGACTAAATTCTTGCTGCATTAAAAGTGCTTACACTTGAATAGCAATTCCTAAACAAGTTGTGCGACTTACTATTTCAATGATAATTCATTAGATTTATGTATTTATTAGTCACATTATGTTTTACAAAGTAAGACAGGCAAAGGTTAAGCCGAGTCTGATTTTTCCACACAGTGAGGAACACGGCTTATTAATTAAACACTGGTATCGGATTAGTACTCTGTATCAACCGAGGATGCCCACAACTGGCTCCACACAAATATTTACAATATGCAGCATTTAACATGACATAACGGTGTACAATACTATTTGATTCTTTCTAAAATTAGCTTCTGTCCTTAGTCCCTTTAATCCTACAGCAATTGAACCTGCCTCGTCATAAGTCAGATATAGAAAAAGTCACCTCCTTATTCTGACCACTTGCAATATTACCCTGTTCTTAAAGAAATTGAGTTACCATTAAACAAACTGCACTGCAGCAGCAGTTAAAATGTATTACTGCACCTCTGCATGTCACAGCATTACATACACACATCACAGGTTAGGCACACAGAAACTACACAGACAACAAGGTCCAGCAAGCCTGAAAAGCAAAAGGCATGACTACCTTGAACAGCGTTTAGTTTAAGTATATACATCTTACAACTTACAGTTTGGATCTTTATTGTTTTTTTGTTTTTTAAAGACTCAGGTATAGTTTGGCTTACACAATGTTTACATGTATACCAAGGTCTGTTGTCCATGAGGTGGAATACACCTTAGATGTAATACTAACGTCTGCAAAACTTTACTTAAAATATGGTTAATAGCTGATGGACGCCATGATTACCAAGTATTCCCCGTTACATCTTATTTGTATCCGTTTGTGCAGCAGCAACAATCAAACCGTAATAAGCACAGATGTTTTCTCTTTGAATAAACACAACACGGACTGTTGTTGGTACAAGAAAAACCTGAGCCGTGTTAACGTTTCAAGCTTTTAGCTTTGTGTGACATTGTTGAGTTGGGCACCAGTTGCACAATTTGCTGTGTCTAAGATTAAATTTGCACAATAACGCAGCTGTCCATTAGGCTTCTGCTGGACGTGTAGGGCAAAAAAAACAGCCATAAAAGACAAAGTAAAGTTGCCATTTTATCAGGATCACTTGAACAATATAGGCTGCGCTAATCGGCTGGCTAGCTTCTCCACAGACTGGGCTGTCGGTATTCAATCATGGCTACTGGACATTTTGACAGGTGCACAGCTTCATAAACTAACCGGCTAACTACAGAGAGACATCATAATGAGCCAAATAGCATCGAATAGTACCGCGCCGGGAAGCATGCTTTCAGCAAACCACCAAGTGTTTTTTTTATGGTCCCCATCATTCATTATCGGTGTCTTCCTTCAGAGCCAGCGTGATGCTAGCTAAACCAACGCACTTGCATTAGTTAACATTACCTAGCATGCTAGCTATGTTAGCAACACAAGCTAGTTCGTTGAGTCGTGACTGTAATACGCCACATTTCAAAGAGTACAGACTCGTAACTATATCTATACAAAGCCCCCAGTTTCCCCTTGACCAGGCTGAGTTTCAAACCCCTCTCCCGCGCCATTCTCCCGTCAAACCAAAGCTAGCAGAGCTCTACTTGCCATCGCTTCCACCAGTTCGGCCGCCATCTTTGTGCAGCAGTACCGCGAGAGCCAGAGACGACGACTAGTCTTTCACCAATGAAACGCAGACCTTGCTTTGACGGATGGGCAGCCTCAGCCAATCACAGGGCGGATGCGACCAGAGCACGAAGTTCTATATACAAAATGGGCGGGACCTAGATGTTTTAAAGTTACAGTGCAACTTTTTAAAAAACACTAAGAGACAGGTCTCATTTCCAAATTAGGCCTTAGTGTCCATCAATGATACCACGTGTAAAAACATTTGATACCCTTGATAGTTCGGTTTTATAGTATCGAGATATTGTGAATGTGTGTATTGAAAATGGTTAAGATTCAACTTGGTTGTAAAGCATGGGGTGTGAAGTGGATCAGGTCGCATGGTCTGTTCAAATCCCGTCCGAACAAAAGACTCCGTTCCAGGTTTTGTGACCGGCCGTGAGATGTGTAGTTAATGCTTTGTCTGAGTTATATTCATGATTGAATACAAATGAGTAACTAATGAAATACACTTTCACGTCAAAGTATAGAACCGCCATACCCTGTCCAAAGCTCAAATACCATGTGGTGTCAGGCTTTTAGCTAAATGGAAACAAGTATGCTGTGGACACATTTATACTCCCTCTGGGGCTCCAGCCCGGATTTTCCAGAAGCTCCTTATATGAGGGGCAAAGAAGAGCCTCATGGAAACACAAAAATCAATTGAAGGAGTTGCAGAATCATGTAATAACATGTTCGTTTTGTTTTGGCTTTACTTTGGATGCGAAACATCAATAAAACAATACGGTGCGTTCTAAAGGACAGCTGGTTTTGCCACCATGGTGCTTCAAGGAAAAGGTTACCTACGATTAAGATTTATGAATAAAATATATAAGATATAGGAAATGTACTATTTAGCTATTTTCAAATACCTTCCTAAATTTAGTTCACAAATACAGATCCAAATGTTATTTTTGTTCTCTACAATACATATGTATTTTAAAATTCTGATATTGGTTCATATTTTTGAATTAATAGGACATCATTTTGCATAGAAGTTGATAATTAAGCTAATTACAAGACAAAAGCGTGCCAATGTAAAGGCAGAATGGTTCTCTCTGCTGTGTATGTAGGCTATAACATGTTCCTTTATTTAAACAGAAGAGGGCAATATGGTCCATGATGTGACCTCATTTAATTCATCCCCTCACAAAAAACACAGAACGAAGTAGGTACAGATACTATACTATTACTGTTATCTGCTCTAATGTGATGACGGCTGAGGGGAAATTGTGTAGGACAACATTTATATCTTATCGTTGGAAGATTTCAATCTCTACAACTGCACTGTTAACAAGTCCTTTAAACAAATGCACAGAGACACTTTTAAACCTTTATTTGTTTCAGATACCACAGACTTTACAGATACAAAACATTGAAATAATGGACATTGATAATTTGCCATTTGATGTAACACTGTAGCTGTATTACAAGACTTTGAATTTAACTATTTCACACACTGAAAGTGTGACACAGTTTCACTGAGGCGCTACAAGAAGCAGATAGAGAATGTGTATTCTATGATGAAAACATTTTAAATAGTTTGTATGACATTGGTCTTACTTAAGGAGAACTTAAAGGCAAATTACACAAAGTGGTTGAATGGCACCACGTTTCAGGGGGGATTAGGTGCTTTATCAAACCTCTTACTTGGTCAAAACACTTAAAGACTCTTGATTCTCTTCATTGTAAAAATGCAGATAATTATTAACTGAGTGTAAAGATTAAAAAACACAATTCATTGCAACATTCAAAAGTATAATACACAGGATGTTTGACCTGAGTATCATAACATAAACAGCATAAACAAGTCTGCTGCATTTCAGTTACAACCCTGAACATAAAAGTGTGGCATAAATTTATCGTTGACATTGAAACATCATCACAATCACAGCACAAATGATACAATTTCAGAGGTAAAGTTTAATTAAACATTAAACAGATGGCTAAAGTCAGTAGTATAGTCCTAACACACGACTAGAGAGCGCTAGTCAATATCTGAAATGTGTCTTTCTGAAAAATAAACCACAGTTAGCTAGTAAAATATGCATTAAACAATTAAACATTACAATATTATGCAATACAAAGAAGTAGCGTAAGAGGCATTTCAGTTTTGATCACTGAGACTTATCTGAAATTATATGTAACTTACTCACAACCATATTACTTCTATATTCTATTGTTTTTTATGTGAAAAAAACATTTCCAATGGCTAACAATAAATAAGTCTATTTTAGAATAATGGATAGAATTGGAATAAAGGTCACAGGACACACAAATACAAAACATGTTATGTCAAAAACAAGGATTTTTCAGTCATGCGTTTTACTGTTCTGTTACCTACCAGTGTCTTCAGAGTATATTTGTGCTCTTTCCAGAGAAGGAGACTGGAATAAATGTGTTTTGTCTCCAAAACATTCAACTTGATGCATTAATTACTGCTCTATGGTAATTGAAGTAATTCTTTGGACAGCATCCCCATAGACAAAACAACTTTAACAGGATAACACGGGTATCTAAAAGGCCTTTGATCGTAAATCATCCATCCTCTGCACACCATGTCTTGCTAAATCTTGAGTATTTAATCTCCCGTAATTACAAAGATTTGCTTAGGTTAATAAAAATAATCCGCCTGAATTGAGACCCCCTACCTGGACCTCCCCTGTGCCTTCTTTACCCCTTTCTGTGAGGGATAAATTCACAGTCATATAAATAGAGACACCTTCACAACCGTGAAGCACAACTCTTCGATCAAGGAGCAAAATGGCTGTTGGATATTGAGAAAGTGTTTCTTGTCGTGAGGTTTGTCAGAGAGGCGAAAACATTTAATTAAACTGTGTTGCGAAACAAAGTAGCTGTATTTAGTCGTATAGACTGACGTCATTTCCACAGGTTGAGATTGTGTCGCTCGTGAGCACGTCAACGTTAACAACAGTTGAGAGGCTCATCTTTATCTGTGATCTTGTCAACACTAAGACTTCAGCGAAAGAAGCGAGGGGCATTGAGGCGTTCAGTTTATGAAAGGGTCCTGCACTTTACAAGAAAATTGTCATGCTGTGATACTCAGGCACAAAAGAAGAACTTTTGGGAGAGCGACTTTTCATTTATCACCTGATATTTATTCAACAGTCAGTTTGGAGCCAATTAAACCTCCGTAATGAGTCTTAATTCAGAGATGACAATGGAGGACAGAAGCAGCCGCACCGGCGGCAGAGAAAGGCTGGGACTTAGCTTCACTATTGACTACCTTCTGTTCAATAAAGGAGTCAAAGGTTCCAAAGAAGAAGCGACAGGAAGTCGTACAGCAGAGCAGACGGTGAACAACCTGCTAAATCATCAGAATCCTAAACCCGAAGAGGTGGGGATTCGCTCTGAGATACAGGAGAAGCAGCGGCAGAGGTCAGAGACAGAGACTGAAGAAAGGAAAGTCAAAGAAGAGGAGGGGGATGAAGAGCAACAAGAGGAGGGGGAGGAGGAAGTGACCACCACCACATCTACCGGCAGCAGTCCGGAGAAGTCTGCGGACAAACCCAACCAGTCGTACATCGCACTCATCTCCAAGGCGATCCTGGCGTCAGAGCAGAAGAAACTGCTGCTATGTGACATCTACCAGTGGATCATGGACCACTTCCCTTTCTTCAAGAGTAAGGTATGTTCACGTCGTGTTACTCTAATTACTGGCAAGACCACAATAGTTCAGGGGCAATTCAGAAAGTCAAACTGGGGGATAATGGGAGGTGAAAACCACGCCGCGGGAGACAAACATACTTTAGCTACACACGTACGACTATTTAGAAAAGAATCATGCTGCTTTACTTTGTTAACTCGTCACAGCTATCAGTAAGATGATCACGAGAGAGACAACAGGAGTTCGTGTTTTCCCAAAGTCTTCCACGTGCTTCATTCGGTTGCTGAGAAATAACCCGGCCGCCATTTTTCGCAAGCGAAGCGACCTACTTGGCACAGGTAATCTGTCTGAGTGGTTAGGCAATTAGGTGCTTGCGGGGACACTAGATGATCTTCTTGTTGGCGAATTCACAAATAAAGTAATCCTGTTGCTAGGTTGCGAACCGCCTCTGCCTTTACCAGGTGCAACAACAGATTGGATGTAGCTTGGTGGATTATAGTTGATCACTGGTTTGACGTGCTAAAAAGGTAACCGAGGGTGTTGTGTCTTGCTGCGATCATGTACGTTCTTGACACGCTATCTTGCATCCTGCCAACAACAGGACGAGGTGACATCCTGACGAGGATCAGTGATACTTAACCGCCACCTATGTTAATTTTCAATTGGGGGCACCTATTGTTTAACTCTTACTTACAGTTTCAGGTTTTATTTTTGGCCTAATCTTTTTTTTACTTGTTCCAACAGGATAAAAACTGGAGGAACAGCGTGCGGCACAACTTGTCCCTGAATGATTGCTTCATCAAAGCAGGCCGCAGTGACAACGGTAAAGGCCACTTCTGGGCGATTCACCCAACCAACTACCAGGACTTTTCCAACGGGGACTACCAGTGTCGGAGGGCACGGCGGAGAGTACGCAGGGTGGCAGGACAGCTCCCGTTTTCCTCCCTGAGCTCCCCCTACCACCCTGGCCTCGCCCGGCCCCACAGAACGACCTACTGGTGCTGCCCTCAAGCCCAAACACTCCCTCTGTCCTACTTGGCTCCTAGACTCTACTGGCCCTGGTCCAGCATGCAGCCACAAGTGAGGTTCCACCCGAGCCTTCATGCCTCTGTAACCTAAGAGTGAACAGTTTAACCCTGAATTATTGTTGGGTAAAAGAGAAATTTTAGAGTCTTATTTGCTAATGAATACATGATGTTGGAATTAAAGTGGACAATGTTACATTATATTCTGCAAACTAACATTATTTTAGGGTGTTCAATGACTTGTTTCAAACTTCTTTCATTTGTATTCTGAATGTTTTTAGAATAAGAAAAACCCATAATGTTTTGTTATAATCTCATTAAATCATATTTAATTCAACACCTTGTGATGTTTTGACTCAGCTGCCTCAGTTGTGATTTGTGTGTGTGTGTGTGTGTGTGTGTGTGTGTGTGTGTGTGCACTTGTGTGTGAGTAGCACTAAAAGTGAGCCCATTGCTAAAATACCTCCCGGTGTTAGATGCTAATTAGTCAAAGCTGTCGGGATGCAAAATCTTCTGCCTTAAGAGACTAAAATCGGGCTTTCCAAAGCCGACTCCCAAGGATATGAGGCCAGATAATCTGAGCAATCCCCAATAGTTTCAAGAAATAGGAAGCTTATCACACAGTGTAATCCATAACCGCTGCTGCAGAAAGAGGGGGACAACGGGAGGTCAGGGATGAAGGAAGCAGAGGAAAGGGAAGGAGGCAGGGAGAGAGGGAGGGGAGGGGATGCTGATTTATTGGAGAGAGGTGGGAGGGCTTTTTTAGGGACTCTCTATGTGTTTAGACGAAGAAGCAGTCGGGCGAACACATACAGCTACTGAAATAATGAAACATATACAAAGTCGCTTTCAAAATATATATAACAAAAGCCACATATCATTAAGGGACACCCTATAAATAATAACTGGAATTGTCTCTAAAGCAGGAACACTTCAGTGATAAGATGACTCCAAAATACCAAAATACTGCCATAATAAGAACAAAGTCAATTTTTACCTGTCTGGCTCTCACATCAATAGTGAAATTCCTCTCTGACTTGCAAAGGTTGGCATTTACAGCCACACTGCTCCAGCCTAAGAGGATTAGGTCATACATTGACTTTTCTGAAGTTTGTTTGTCTCGGCGCATGTGGGCTTCCTATTTACAAATTATTGAATATTTGAATAAGGAAATATTTGACATGAAATTAGACTCTAGACCGACAAACAATATGTCAGAAGGATGAAGCTTGAGAGAGAGAGAGAGAGAGAGAGAGAGAGAGAGAGAGAGAAGGAGTTATTCACAACAGATATTTTCTGGCGATGCTCATTAGAACAATGACAAATCCATCTAATTAATTTTTGTCCACCAAATCTTCCTCTTCAATGTCGGCAGCTAATTGGAGACCTAATTTGCTTAATTCCCATGAATTGCTCTCTGCATCAAATCCTCTTCAATTCACCAGCTTTAAGGCTTTAATTTGGTTGCATATGTTTGCTGTACACACACACACATACACACACACACACACGCACACACACACACACAGGCAAACAAATGCCCATGTGCAAGAGTTTACAATTCACACACATACAACTCCTAAAACTCTTGCAGTTACACACACACAATCGTCCAAATAATAAAATCAGTGTGAAACTTGTTAAATGATGGGGTATTTGTATTTTTCTTGGTTCATATTTTAAATACTATATCAGCAACCTTAATAAATTTACCTTAAAATGCTATTTTGGTCATGCATTTCCTGCTAAAATACTTAAAATACAATCACTGATGTGCAACACACTCACACAAAATTGTAATTAACCACCTTTCTATAGGAGAAAGAGATTGAGGTCATGAGCTGTGTTTGTGTGTGTGTGTGTGTGTGTGTGTGTGTGTGTGTGTTCATATGTGCATGTCATTTTGTTAATCTAATGGGATGGGCAGAGGGGTGTAGGGGGCCGTAGATTAAGGCACAAAGATTTGTTCCTGATTAGCAGAGAGTGAGGTAAGTAGATCAGTCCTGCTGAGATGGCGATGAAACATTCTGGCTGTGTTTTAATACAACACATTTACAGCAGCATTCCAAAGCTGATTCGCTTTAGCTTACATGTATCTCATTGATTTGACTGTGGACTCGACATACAACAGTTCACACAGGATGAAGCCTGAAACTGCAGATAGATCAAAGAGATGAACAGGAAAAGGGAAAATGTTGGTTTTCAGCTTGTAGCTCATTTTTGTGTAAATATATTTCATTAGTAGCACTGTAGACGTTGTGTCTCTCCTTTTGTCTTCATGATTATTATATTAAATGTAATTTAGTCAGTGACTCTGGCTGGTTACACTTACGCAAATTACAGCTATATAAATAACTTGAGATAATTGTATAGTCGTAACTCCTTGAAAATGGCCTCCTGAATTATTCAAGAAATTCATTTAAAAATGAATGATGATGACAGGAACATTTAATGGTCATAATTCCACATCTGGGGTAGGGTCCAAATATTAAAATACTTTGTTTGCATGTTGCCAAGCTCAATTTTAACTCGACAAACAACATCCTTTTAATAATTAATTTGGTATTTGGTTGATATCTAGACCTGACTTCAGTCCAATGAACAGTTAGAGCTGCAGAGCTCTATAGCGCACCTAATGTTAATACATCATCTTTCATCAATAATGTCTTAGTTGCAAATATTTTTTTTTGAATTCAGAAGTAGTAACCAATCAGGTGTTCAGTATTGTTGCCCAGCACTAATTTATATCCATATTATTCTTTCATTTTGATTTAGTTTGACTGAGATTGCTGCAGTTTATTTTAGGTAAGTTGTAAAAAGAGTATTTAAAAAAACATTATGGCCGTTTTGTATTCTGTAAACTATTATCAATAGTATTAGGTTTGATAATAAAAAGCAAACATGTAAACCCAGGGCATTTATGTCCAATAATTAAAAAGACTGTTACAAAAATATATGAAGTAGATGGTATAAAGTAATTAACCACGTTTAAAAAAATACAATACTTGCCATTTGTCTGACTTGATTCACCTAATTTGCCGTTTCCCCTCAGAAACAGGCTACGTTTCATCGTGGTGCAACTGCAACTGGATGTGTGAATAACTCTCAATAGGCCCAAAGCCTCGAGGAGTCCAAATTGCAAGTCTATTATAAAGCATGATTGCATAGAAGTAAGTAGTATTTAAGGCTTAGGAAGCGCCATAGTCGAATCAAAACCAGCTGCTATTTTCTGGTTGTGTCCCACCATGAACAATAGCCTGGCGTTACCTCGGCTTCAAAGCCTCCATAATAGTCAATCGATCAGAATGCGAGGCGCTATTCTGCAGATTACTGTTAACAATAATTTGCCTCCTAGTGCACCGTTGCCATCTTTGAAGCAATGTTTTATTGCCTTTTTTTTTCCATCTGCATCTGTCATCCCCGAGGTCCACTGTTTGATCTCTCCCCACCAGTGTCTGCCTCCCCGGGGTCGCGTTGACCTGTTGATTGGCAGCTGCGATCAGACATATGGTGGGACGAGGCATCGACCGGAGCTCCCCGAAGACAAAAGCAGACTAGTGGGTTTTTTCCCCCCTCTTTCACCGCGCCGAGGAGCCGAGCAGCAGCGCCGAGGAAGCGGCCAAATCCGGCCGCTAGATGACGCAAGGTGCAAGCGAATATCTCCAGCACTTTTTCGACCATTTAATGTAAGTGGACGTGGCAAAGTTTTTTTCTTCTCTTTTTCTTCAACCCATAGTCAGTTAGTCGTGTTTAAAATAAGATATGTAGGATGCGGTGGCGTGCTAATTAAGCACGACATTATTTATAAGTTGTGCACTTTAGTCTACATTTGAAATGTCAGTATTCGCTCTGTTATTTTTCATTAACACGAATAATTTCCAAAAAGATATTATTTCTTCCCTTTGTAGTGACACGTTGACCCCTATAATAGAGCGGAATGGCAGGGTGGTACAGCCATCTTAGCAGATAAAATATGGCCTCTAGAGCAGGCCAAGTGATGAATGTGGAGAGGTGGCAAACCAGGTGCCAGGCTTCTTTGGATTTCGCCCAGCTGTGTGTCAGTTCACTGGAAACCAATTGGGAGCAGCCAAAAAAAAACAACTACAAAACAACAACAAAAAACATATGTGGCTCAACCTGGTATGTTTCAGCATACAGAATGCAAAACACCCCCCCCCCCCCCCACACACACACATTTCTCCTCCTCTGTAGTGAGCGGAGTGTTGCCATGGCGATGCATCTCTGGCCAGGGTCTTGCAGTGGTCCTCACTGACCCTGGTTGGTGACCTCTGACATTTAGGCCATGGCCAGGGTCAGAAGGTCAGCGATGGCCGGAGGGCAACAAGAGCACTTCCGTGATTGGCACTCTGACATGCTCGCTGCCCCTTTCATCTGCATCGCTCACCTCCCTCCCAGAGTTTGCACCTCTCATTTGCATTTTGTTACAGAGCCGAAGAAGACCATCAGCTGCAGGAGGTTGATCCTGCTGTTTTACATTTTAGCAGGTCACCCGCTGTACCCTCACGGCAATGCAAAGGCTCAATATCGTATGATTTGCATTCAATGCCGCACTCTTCAGATTTCAGTGTAAATTGTGATGATAAAATGCAATCTCCAGCAGGCTAACATCCTGTATCGTGATGGTTATGATAGCAGTAATGATTATCAGTATTCCCATGGCCCGTGCAATCCAGTGTATGTGAGGATATCTATAGTCCTTCATGTGATAGTGTGTGTGTGTGTGTGTGTGTGTGTGTGCGTGCGCACGCGTGTGTGCATGTTTCTTCATTTCCGGGGGGGGGGGGGGCAATGCACCACACCGGGGTTCTTCTCGTGGGGAATAATTACAGAATTGTGGGTACTAAAAGTCATGTGACCCTAGCCTTCTGCATCCAAAGAAATTATCCCCCCGGCTGATAGCTCGTCAATATCAATTCATTAATTTAACAGTTCTGGACTGATAAAAGGTAGTGCGCACAGTTAGCTTGCTGAAACAAGGAATAAGGATGAATTTTACAGTGCAATGGTGTGAAGGGAAGGGAAGGAAAGAGGGAGGGACTGGAGGACAAAGCGAGGGGAGAAACGGTACAGGGG